AGGTGCCTTATCGCACCTGATGAAAGCAAGCATGCTTTTCTGATTAAAGACAACTAAGGGACAGGCTAAGAACAGACAAGTAAGCCATGTGGAATTGGGAAATGACCCTTTAAAAGCCTCAGGTTGCCAGATCCTTGGCATACCTCTTTCACTCTCCTTTCTTTTTAAAGGAATCTGTTTTGCTTTTTCAAGATTATTCCTGATCATGAGCTTTCAAATGGAGGGTTGTTAGAATGATGAGGCAAAGCAAATGTGATTCTGGGGAAGGGGAAGAAGGAAAGAAGGGTAGAAGAGGGTTTGCTATTTTGGCATGCTCACATTCCCCTCAAGAGAAGTCAAAAAAGGGGAGATATAAATACAGGGAGTAAAGAAATGCATTCTGCTAGGCTGAGAAGAAAATCTGGAATTACAAGTGGGAAAAGCAGGTGATTCAGTAAAGGGCAAATTCATCATGGAAATCAGCATGGGCCACTTCAGGCCATGATTCTCAAAATGCCAGGCTTGTTCACAGGTGACCATTGTGTAAGTTGTCGGAGGGCCCACCCTGGCCTTGTCAGATATTTATACAATTACTTCTTTGGATGTGTGTCTTATCCGCCGTACCCATGGTAACAAGGATACCAGAGGGTTGCTCTGAAGGACCTGGGCAGGCAGCCTTTTCCCCTACGGAGTTCACTAGGTAAGGCATAAAATGGGGTGGGGGGCAAAGCAGAGAAACAAAGAATGATTAATGTTTGCCAATACCACTCTGCCACTTAGGGGCTGGCTAAATCCCACATTTTAGCCACGTTCCAACAACTGAGGGTCTCTGTCTCTGACCTTGATAAATTCCTTGATAAAGCTGTATTTACCAGGAGCTTCCAATATCACCTGAGCCCTCCCAGCCTTTAATGTATAAACTGCTTCTCCATCCATCCCCATTTATTATCCTGTCTGTAACTAGACATTGCTGCCAGAATGCATCCCCTGCGGAAACTAGGCCTTCCCACAGCAGGATCTGACAAATCCACTTCAATGGGGCACCATGCAGGTTTGTAAAGAAGCAGGGATGCCTAATATCTCTCCCTGTGACATCTGGAGAAGGACAAGTAAAGACCAGCTACATCCATGGGCTGCCACTCAGAGAGTAGCTTGAGAGTCGATTCACTTGTCCAAACCTCGTAGGTTGCTCTTATAAAGGTACATGGGAGTTATCTCCTCCTGTTCGGGGCAGAGTGTTCCCTTTACTCTTGAAAGCCAAATTGCTTTCAGTCCTTGGGACCCTTTCATTACCTTTTGAACGAGCTGGTGCTGATTTGCAGAATGTGTGTTCTGCATAGCTTCTCAGTCCTTTCACACCTGCCCCCTCAGTTCTCCATAAAGTATGAAAGAGGGTTAATGCTGCTGTTTGCCAGGAGAAACTATCTTTTAAAGTTATTACTTTGTTCAGTGATTATGGCAGGAGGACACACTGCTTAAAATATTACTTGATGCTCTTGGGGGGAGGGTAGATCAAGAAAAGTACCTGGATCTGATCAGTGGAAAGTAGAGAGGGGTGAACGTTTTCTAAAACACTAGAGGGCATGACAGCACAGGTTCATGGTAGAGATAGTCTTCAGTACACAGCTACGGGTCTTGTGGCAGCTGGTTTCTTTCTCCCTGTGCCTATAACATTGCTGAGTCTGGCTTTTATACCTGGGTATTAAATAGTGGGCACCACCAGCAAGCAAAGAAGAGCTGGAGTGTTTGATTTCCTTTGGTGAGCAGAGGTTGGCCAGACCCCCTGATGCTTTTTTGCCTGATCTTGTCCCTGTGACTTAGAGCAAATTTCAGTGTCCGGCTGAATTGGTGCTACAGTTGGCAGGGAGTGAAGATCCCTTTTCTCTGCCCCAAGCCTCTCTCATGAATGCCTGCCTTTGCAGTTTGTTAAGTTGGGCATAGAAACAAGCAAATTTCTTCCTACCTTTAAATCATAGCTTCTCTAACCACATTAAAACATTTGCCATGGTATAACCAAAAAGATCACTGCCATATGAAGATATTGTGAATGCTCTGGTTTAGTGATTGAACTGTGCTTTAGATCCTGGCTTCATATTTTGCAAATTGCTTGGATCCCAAGAAAAGCTGATGAGCCCTCTGTAGCTCAAAAATCATCTCTGCCTGTTTCCTCTTCAGCTGATCGATCACTCAGTGGGCACCTCTTGTCTTTCATCCACATTAGGACATCTCTTCTTTGCTTACCTAGTCAGTTTGAGGATTTCAGTTTTTCATCATGCCTTGCATTTATCTTAGGTATATTATACCATAATCACTTGAGAAGAGGATGTGTAGAATGTTTGCTTTTACTAAAAAGTTGTCAGACATATAATTTAAAAAAAAAAAACAACAACCTGGAAAGCCTAAATCTTAAGCCTATTAAATCCTCTATGTACAAAGTTACAGAATATAATTTCTGTTGGAAAGACGTTTGAAACAGAAAGTATAATGGGGTATGGTCAGGGATGACAAGTGTTCTGGTTTGGCTTAAGTGTAGGCTACGTGTAAATAATTAGATACAAAATACAGTGGAAGGGTGAGGATAGAATGTTGGAGCACCTTAATTTTGATACTAGAGTTTTCAAATTTGATCTATTATACAATGGAGAGCTATTGCCACTTCTTGATATAGTGACATGATAAAAGCTGGGCTTTAAGTATCCTGTATTCCCAAATTTACTCATCCACTCTGTGTGGCAATGGTGCCCCCCCACTTATTGAGTAGATCTTGATAATTCATCACATGTGTCACATCACAAATAAGCAGGTTCAGGGGCCGTTCTGGTATTGTTGTTGTTGTTAGATGGGTGCAGTGGATAGAGCACCAAGCCTGGAGTCAGGAAGACTCTTCTTCCTAGGCTCAGATCTGGCCTCAGACACTCACTAGCTATGTGACCCTGGGCAAGTCATTTAACCTTGTTTGCCTGTCTTTCCTCATCTGTAAAATGAATTGGAGAAGGAAATGGCCAAACGCTCCAGTATTGTTGCCAAGAAAACCCCAAATAAGGTCATGAAAAGTAGGACATGACTGAAAATGACTGAACAAAAACAACTCCCAAATTTATTAATCCATTCTGTGTGGCAATGGTGCCCCACTAGTGTGTTGAGTAGACCTTTGTCATTCATCATGTGTCACATCACAAATAAGCAGGTTCAGGGACCATTCAGGTATAGTTAGAGCCATTCTCACTTATGTTAGTAGTGACTGGATGATGATGCATGTTCCCTAGTATACTCCAGTTACTAACAGGTGCAAAGTTTCCAAAGAGCCAGAACAATTTTGACAGTTGGTATTCATATCCCGGGTAGCAGTGATTAGTCTCCTTCCAGAATACTCCTAGGAGTGCCCATCCCCCAAGAGAAACAATATCCTCTCCAGTATAGGGTATCCACAAGCCCACAGTGAGGTAAAATCAATGTCCCAGGGATATCTCCTATCTGTAGACATATATTTCATCCATAATACTTTAGTCTCTGCTCTACCTCAGAGCATCACACGTTTAAAACTAAAAGGGCCTGAGGTCACCTAGTCATTGTCTCTTATTTTATAGATGAGGAAACTGGGACCACAAACTAGATTTGACTAATCTACAAAAATAGCAGCAGAACTGAGATTGAAAAGCTGATCTTCTCATTCCAGATCCATTGGTCTTTCTACTGTATGTTGCATCTTCTTCCTGCAAACTAATGGGATAAATAAGCTCCAATATTTGAGCCCATTTAATTCAACAGTGAACATAAATTAAACATCTAAAATGTGAAAGGCACCATGTGAGGTGCTAAGTATACAGAGATGAAATGGGTCAAATACTCTGCCCAACCAGAGCACAGAATCTGATTGGATTAGGTGGGTGGGGACTATGGCAACCATAAAAAAGCATGATACAAGATAAATTATTATAGGGGCAAAGGAGAGATCCAGAAAAAAAATGTTCTGAGATAATTTGAGCCTAGCAGCATTTTTTTTTTGTGACATCAAGGAATTGAGAAGAAAGCAATTCTATCAACTGGGTAAAGACTAAACGAACTGATACAGGAATGTAGTAGAATAGCCTTGTTCGATAAGCAATTACAAATCTGATGAATTCAGAGAAAGATAGGAAGATTTGCTTGAATTGATGTTAGTGAAACAGAAGGAACAATAAAAACAATGACCACTATAATTTAAATGATGTCACTAAAAGAAAACAAAACTCTCAATAATTAAAATAATCAGTCTCAGCCCTGGAGAACAGAAAACGGAACCAATTTCCTTCCTTTTAGAAGAGAAGTAGGACTCTAAGGATAAGATGTTTCATAAACAGTATTGCCATACCAATTGTCTTTACCGTTTTTCTTTGTTGCAAGTGAGGAGTCCCTACCTCCCAGATTGTTGTGAGGATTTAATGAAATAATATTTGTAAGGCATTTAGTATGGTGCCTGGCACACAGTAGGCACTATATAAATGCTAGTTATTATTATTTCTTTCTGTGATCTTGCTCGTTTAACTGACCCTTTGTTCAAGGCCATTAAGAGTTCCTTTAAAACTCCAAAAACCTTTAGGCAAGATTTTTATGGACATGTTATATCCAGTCTCCCTTTTCAGAAGAAGCCCTTGGACGATTGCCATCACTTATTTCCCCTAAATGTTGCTTTGCTGGTATTTCATTCTATTTCCTTTTTCACACCCTACCCAAACTAGCTATGGTCCTGGTATGACACATCTTGCCTGTGGTTATTTAGGCAGTGAGGTGGTGCAGTGGATAGAGTGCTGTTTTATCTACCAGAAAAACATCAGCATTTGACCAACTGCCCCCAAAAGTTACTACAGAGGGGCCATGGATACTCTTCATTCAAGGATCATACTGCGGAGGGGTGTGAAGAGCATCTATGGGCTATACTCTACCTGGGATTGTCTATAAAGTACAGTCTGACCTTAAAACCACTTACTGGCCCCCATCTCTCCTGAATCTGGGTGGAGTTTCACCGAACACTATAAACTTACCTAATTCACCCTCACGCCAGCGTAGACTTGTTCCCTCAGTACTCACAGTTCCAATTCTTCTTTTCTCCTCCTTCTTGCCTTTTCTGCTTTCTACCTCCATTCCCTCTAATGAACAAATGTCCTTCCCGAATCTTTTGGATGAAACACTTTATTGTAATAGACCAGGGGTGGGGAACTGGCTGCCTTGAGGCCACATGTGGCCTTGAGGCTGCAGGTTTCCCATCCCCATAATAAACTTTTGTGTGACTACTTCAGGGAATGCTGAATTCAAAGCAAAACAAATTCAAAGCATCTTGGGCTTAAGAGAGTTTTTTAAAAAAATTGTATTTTTAAATGTATGCCCAAAAGTGGGCTGAATTTTGCCAGTTTTCCATTTCTTTTTCCATGTTGCACCATAACCTCTGACTAGACCTCTCATGACTAAAAGACAGGAAGCAGAAGGGGAAAAAAAGATTTGGGGGGCCTGTGCAATTCACAAACCCTACCACTGTACGATTTTAAAATTGTACTCTGATGAGCAGAAACGTCAACTTATATTTCCAACTTTGAATAGGGCCCATTATCCCTAAACATTGAATTTTTAAAATTATAGTCATCTTTCTCTTTCCATGATAGCTTCAGAAGTAAACCCATATTTCAGTGGGAGCAGAGATTTAAAAACAATTAATAATTGAAAGTCATAGGGGTTTTTGTTTAGGAGCAAGATTTATTAATGCAGTAGGATAACTGATACAGGTAATACACAGATCAATTAACAAGCATTTATTAAGCATTTGGACAGCTAGGTGGTACAGTGAGAGGATCACTGGGCAGGAGTCTAGAAGACCAAATTCATATGTGGCCTCAGACACTTACTAGCTGTATAACCCTGAGCAAGTCACTTAACCCTGTTTGCCTCAGTTTCCTCATTTATAAAATAAGCAGGCACTGTACAAGGTACTAGAAACAAACAAAATGTACTAGGTGCTGTGCTAGGCAATGGAGATATAAAGACAAACGTGACATCCTTCCTGTCCTCAAGGTATTTACATTTCAGTGTGGGAGGTGGGAGTGTGGGCATGTGTGCGTGTGGGCGCGTTGCACGCGCACACACACACACACACACACACACACAAAACACACACACAATCCAAAATGAATACAAGGTCATTTTAGAAAGTATTGCTCCTGTAGCTGAGGGGATCAGGAAAGACTTGCTGGTGAAGGTAACACTTGAACTGAGTCTTAAAGGGAACTATAGGTTCCCGAGGGCAGTAGTGAGGAAGGACTACATCTCAGGCCTGGGGGACAGTCTGAACAGAGGCAAAGAGGTTGGACGTGTGAAATGGAACAGTGGCAGGCCAGGGTGACTGGGTCTCAGAGTATGAGGAGGGGAATGATATATAAAAGGACTGGAAATGTAGGAAGGGACTAGAGGGCGAAGAGATTTAAGTATCAAGGTTTTTATTTGATCACAGAGGCAATAGAAAGACACTAGAGTTTGGGGAAATGGAGATTGCTATAGGCAGACCTTCTCTTTAGGAAAATCACTTGGTGGTAGCTGCACAGAATATGGTTTGAGGTAAGGAACTTTCAGTTAAACAAATATTTAATAAGTGCTTACTTTGTGCCAGGCATTGGGACAATATCTCCCATTTCTCTGGTGACTTAATATTTACCGGCAGATTTTCTCCCAACCAGCCTGTGAAGCAGGTAATACAAGTTTTTAGAATCCCCACTTCACAGCTCAGGGTTAGTGAGGTCAATTAATATGTTCCAGAACAAACAGCTGCTATATGTCAAGAATTTGAATGCAAGGCTCCTGAACCCAAGACCAGTATACTTTTTGCACTTTTTCCTTAGAGAATCTATCAATGTTTTCAAGATGCTACTTATGTACCTCCTTCTCCACAAAGCTGTTCCTGATGCCCCCAAATGCTAGTGCCATCCTGCTCAAGCTACTGTTTGTGTTTATTCACATACGTATATTTTTACATATTCATTCTCTATATGCCTGTCTATGTATATACCTTCTCCTGTAACAGAGAAGGTAAGCTCCTAAACTAGGGTAGGGATTGTTTCACTTTTTTGGCTTTGTATCTCCAGCACTTGGTACATAGTCACTTACTAAATGATCATTGATTGATTATACTATGAATGTGTGCCATTCTCTGAAAAAAAAAAGAGAAAGAAAAATTCCTGTTTCTCCTTTGTGTCTTCTGATTCCAAGACCAAGTTTCTTTCTATTTCATTATGCTTTCTCCCATCTGTCTCTGACCACAGAGAAAGAAATAAGTATCTAAGTAACTAGGCAATGGATTGGACCAGTATAAAACACTCAGGAGTATCCTTTTTGAGAATCTGAAAGTAAACAACTCATCAGAATACTGGCACTAGGGACAGTCTTCCAGGATGTGGAAGGAGCTTTGGGTAAAGAGCCCTTCTTTGCAACACTGTTTACTATATGGATTTTGTGGAACAGGTCTTAGGAGATCTGAGATCTAGTCCTGGTTCTGCTGCTGGCTAGCTGTGTGACTTTGGCAAGTCATTTACCCTAATTGCAAAATCTGGGGGCTTGTGCTCAGCTCTCCTTGTCCTTGACCTTTCTGCAGCTTTTGAAAACAATTGTCCATCCTGCCCTACTGGATATTCTCCAAGAGCATAAGAAATTCTCTTGGTTCGCCTCCTACCTCTTTGACTACTCATTTGCTGAGTCCTTGTCCTTTCCCTGATCCCTTTGTGTGACTTATTCCACAAATCCACCCTTGACCCTATTTTCTGTTTATTTCACTTCCATGCTTCCCCTTTGATGAATCTCTACTTTCAGCCTCTCTAGGACTCAGCTCTGCAGGACTCTATTCTGAGCCCCAATCTCTCTTCAGAGCTCCAGACTCATATCTCCGCGTGTGCCAATACTGTATCTTTATCTAAATGTCCCTTCAACACATCAAACTCAAAATGCAGTTCATGATCTTTCCCCTGAACCTTGTTCCTCTTTCTAACTTTATTAGCTCTTTCTATGGTTATCTATGGCTCCACAATCCACCCAGTCTCCTGTCTTCTTGAACTTAATCTTGATTCTTCCTCTTCACTCACCTGTCATATCCCTTGTGTTAATTACCTCTGTGGCATCTTTTCCCCATCTCATTTCTGTCTATTATTACCCTACTACAAGTCTTTCATTATCACCTACATGGAGATTCAAAGTAATCTCTGCACAGATTTTCTCACTCCCATCTTCTCCTTCCAATCTATCCTTCATACCGCTGCTGAAATCTAGTTTCTTATGCATATAGCTTGTCATTTCACTGCTGCTCACTGTTGCCTTTCAGATAAACTGTGAAGTCTACAGCCTTACATTTAAGGTCTTCCACGATCAGATACCTCTTACCTTGGCCCATACTGTTCTCCTCAACCTATTTTATATTCCAACCAAGCTGGACCACATTCTCTGCCCCTCAAATATGGACTGTACTTATACACCTCTGTAATTTTTTTCACAACATTCCCAATGCCTGGAATACCCCATGTCCCTACCATTGCCTTCCTTTAAAGCCCAGTTCAAATGCTGCTCCTTCTAGGAAGGTTTCCTTGATTATCCATTCCCCCTTTGCTTTGTAACTCCATGACGATGTTATCCTATAATATCTTCTGTTGTTGTTTTTAAGTCATTTCAGTCATGTCTGACCCTTTGTGACCCTATTTAGGGTTGACTTGGGGAAGATACTGGAGTGGTTTTCCATTTGCTTCTCCAGTGGATCCAGTGGGTCTATTTTGTCAGGCAGTCAGAGGTTAAGAGACTTGCCCAGGGTCACACAGCTAGGAAGTGTCTGGGGCTGGATTTGAATTGAGGTCTTCCTGACTTTAGTCCCAGTGTTCTGTCCACTGAGTCATGGGCTGCCTCATAATATCTTGTATTATAGCTATTTGTATATTTATTGTCATTATCTTGTTGTATTAAGTTGTATACTTTTGTTTAGTGTATGTTGCCGATAAACGTCTAGGTACCAGGTTTGGGGCCTGTTAGCTTCACCATATCCTAGGGCAATATTCTATGCACACCCCTAACTTCAGCCATTTTTCTCAAAAATATGCTATTTGTCACAAGGGGGATTGGTTACAAAGGTGTCTAGTAAATAGAATTTTAGACTTGGAGTCAGGAAGAAGTAAGTTTGAATTCTGGCTCTGATACTTAGCTGTGTGACCCTGGGTGAGTCACTTCACAGCCTCAGTTTCATCATTTGTAACAGCACCTACCCTACAACATTATTGTGGAGGTTCAATAAAATAACATATACATATATATATGTATATATATATATATATATATATATATATACATATATATATACATATATTGCTTTACAAACCTCAAAATGCTACATAATTACTAGCTTCTATTGTAAAAATAATTTAGCATGCAAATCCTTTGTTAATGGTTTAGTAGCCTTTACCTGTTTTGAAGGATAGTGCATCTTTGAAACCTTAAGAATAAATCTACGTGTCCATTTCACACACACACACACACACACACACACACACACACATACACACACACACACACACACACAAACACACACACACGTAAATGTTATAAGGAGCCTTCCTGCCAAACTTTAGAAAGGCGCAGGCCAAAAATCCCATAACCCAAATTACATCTTTACTTTTGCAGATCTGATTCTGGCCCTTCCTTCCCCCAGTTTAATTCCTTCCTCCCTCCATGGCATCACACCCCACAGAGGTATGAATGAGGCTTGGTTACTGCTTTTGCTCTTAGCAAGGTTTCTAGTCTGGTTACCTTGGTATTTGCAGCTAGTGTAGAGAAGGAGAGCAGCAGGGTTGCTCCTTGTATTGAAGAACCATAATCCTATTACACCTACCTCGAATCTCTCATATTAGCTGCCTTTAAAGTGGGGGGATGGATGGAGGTGACTCAGTTGACTTTTAAATCCTTAAGGGTCCTACTTCCAAAATCCCCATGTGTAAGTCAAGTAGTAGATTAGGCTCCCCACTAAGAAGGCCCTGGCTGCATTAGAGACCTCGCTATTGAGCCT